GAATGGCCACGCCACAATCCCTTCTCCATTCTCCTCTCAGGATCTTGGGCACGCACACACACGCGCCCGGCGTGAATTTAAGCCACTGGGTCTGGGACCTGAACCGCGGTCGACTACGTGGGAGTCCAGCGACATAGCCATTACGCTAACTGCTGGTTCCCAAGGTAGACTAATTCAAGTCAGTCTCTCTTTGCCATGAAAAGAGACATCCTTGGTTACGAAAGCGTGAAATTTCTCAAACAAAATCCCAAGACACATCCCTTTAGAGCTAAGAAAATGAAATTCAGTAGATTCTAAAGGATAAGACATATACATTTCATCCTTCATAATGATTCTTCCACACAGGCCTTTCCTCTCCACAAAATAACTGCTACCCCTTCTTTATCAATCCCATTCAGAATCCACCTCTAATTATTGGCATTGTGTGCCATGGGGCTCCCAATAGATTGTGGGTTAATTCTACCTAAAGACTAAGGTTGGAGGCAGAGAAATTCTGCATCGTCAGTGCCTGGAACTCTGTGCTCATTCATTGAAATTATTCATTAATTTGTTCTTTTTAATAAACTCTTCTGAGAACTTACATAACTTTGTAAATTACATAGATAGCCCATATTTCTAGTTGCCTCCAGCTCAAAATAGGAGGTTGGTTCTCTTTTGTTTCTTTTATTGGCTTTGTTATCCAGGTGCTTGTCTTAACAGACCACTCAGTACTGACACGGATTCCCTACCTCCCCGCGTTTCTATTACAGGCATGTCATGTTGCCCAAGGACATAGCCAAGCTGGTTCCTAAAACCCATTTGATGTCTGAATCTGAATGGAGGAATCTTGGCGTTCAGCAGAGTCAGGGATGGGTCCATTACATGATCCATGAACCAGGTCAGTGCGGTGCAATGGCTAAAAGTAACCATACAAGATGACTACACTGAGGGAATGAAGGAATAAGAGCGCAGGGCCCAAAGAATATTGGGAAGTCAGAGTGGTTTACTGGTTCTTTTCCTCCACTAGGGGAAGAAAAAGAAAAAAAAAAAAAAACCCTGGAGTGATCAAAAGTAAGAATAAAGTATGTGGGAAGTTCTGAGACATCTTGGCACTGAAAACCTCCTCCAGTCTTTAATTTAGTCAGAGGGTACTCCTTTTAAGGCCACGTATACTCCGGTTATGGCCCCTGCTTCATTCTCCACCAGAAAGCATATTCTTGGATATGTTCCAAATAACCTTTCTTGATAAGGCAGCAGACACCCCGCTGCCAGGCAGAACTAATAAAGGTCACCCCAGGGCTGTATAAACATAGCCAAAGAACTGGATATTAACAATTCTGTACTTGGCAGACAGGCCAGACTTCTGGGTCTGCTGTAAGGCCATATGCCTACATCTTAATTTAGTTATAGAGATCTAAATGGGTGATAGTCGGGAGGTGGTGGTGGAATACACTGTAGCTCCTGCATTGAACGGTGTGAGCTTGTCTCTTAGATTTCCCTCGCTTTTTCAGAACCTCACATCTTGCTGTTCCGGAGGCCACTACCCAAGAAGCCAAACAAATGAAGCCGACAAGCCACTTTTCAGTGTCCAGGTCTACACAGCTGTCCTTACTTTCTAACATCTTTCTGATAACCTGATTATGTCACCTTCCTGTTTCTCACTTTGATATTTAAAGGATATTCAATACACTGTTTGGATGTGCTGGTCATTGCTTTGCTTCTTGAGTAGAGCCCAAACCACAGGAGCCCAGCTAGAGGAGTGCTCTATGGGCCACCGAGTGTGACCCCAGGAGTCATGGTGCCATCTGTCTCCAGAAGAACATGTTTGACGGATGGAGGAAGCATCCTGAGACTAAGACCATGGCTGTTCCAGGGATCATGTAAACTTGTTTTGTTTTTTTCCTGCTGGGTGTTTTATGTATGGTGACTTGTGGGTTTAAATTTCAATGTATTGGAAACTTTTCATTTTATTCAAGAAATCTGTTCCATGTTCAAAGCCTTGATTAAAGAGGAAGTTTTTATGACCAAATCCTGTAACTGGGGGGGAGGGGTTTTACCCTACTCGGCGTGAGCATGATATTCAGTGTCATGGTTCCGATTTATGTCCTTCAGTTTGGGAATGCTGATGATGAGCTTTATATGAACACTGAGGTAACTGGTTTTTAATCTCCTTTCAACAGCCTTGCTACCAAACATCTACCAAAATATATTTCACTCAGCCTACTAGCCTGAGGTGGAGGTTGTATAGGGAGAGCCTTATTGAAACAAGTGAACTGATTCCTACAGCCAGGGGTGCCGACTTCAATGTACACCCGATATTTGAGGGCACACAAGGGCGAAGGGAGGAAGCTGTCAGCCAGACCGCACACATACTCCAGTGCCTGGCTAAGAAGACTCAGGCCCCCTGTGGCCTCTTCCCTGTGCCCATTGGTGGGGGAGGGTGTTTCTAGTGGTTCTCAACTTTGGTTGAGCATTGCAATCACCTGGGGAGCTTTACAAGCTTTGCGGCTAGAGAATGACCTAACTGGTCTGAGGTGCGGACTAGACGTAGGGATTTCAAGCATTCTTGCGTAGTTACAGTGCTAAGCATTGAGAAAATAGGTATAAACTATAGCTATTTAAGATTTCAAGGCGGCCATGGCATAGTAGTTAAGGCGCTAAACTCCCACATGGCTGACTGCAGTTCCAAGTTCCAGACCTGGCGACTTTGTCATTTTCTCTCTCACAGGTACCCTACAGCAAATTAAAAGCAATAAGCAATAATTCCCTAAAAAGGGGGAAAATATTTCACCAATAGCTTACCCTCCACCTTAAAAAAATTATAGTAATTGTAAGGGAGATGAGTCTCCCCCCTATTAGCTTGTCTTGCATCCTTTTTTTTTTTTTTTTTTAAATTTCTTTTAGATTTTTGCAATAGGGTGCATGCACTGGCCAGAGAGACAGAAAGCGAGAAATCACCCTCCAGGGGGGATGGCCATGCTACAAGCCCTTCTCCATTCTCTTCTTGGGATTTTGGGCACACACATGCGCTCAGTGTGAGGTTTTTTTATTGTTTTGTTTTTTAAGAATTATTTAAGTTCCTTTTTTAACTGTCACAAAGGACTTTTTATTTTTAACTATTAAAAGTCTGAACTTTAAACAGATTCTTGGACTGGTGGTTCATATCCATCAGCTCGTTCAACTCTGATACCCGTCTCATCCCCAGTTGCTTTTCCAGAGCTGCTACCTTCACCAGGAAGCTCCATGAGTTTTCCCAATTCAAACTTGGGCTTCTGCAGCATTTTTACTTTTCTGACAACATTGTAGAGAGGGTAGATGGACTGGCAAGCCTTTTCTATGTCTTTTCCGATGCTGTCTGGAATCAGTTTATTGACCACTTCTTTCAAGTCATTTGTCTGCACCTCCCAGGACAGAGAGAGAAAGTGAGAAAATAAGCTGCCAGATCCAGGACTCCAACCACGGTCAGCCATGTGGAAATCCAGCACCTTTAACCACCATGCCACCTGCCAGCCCTGTTAGTGTGAGTTTTAAGCCACCAGGTCTGGGACTCGAACCTGTCGGCTACGTGGGAGTCCAGCAATGTGACCATTTCGCCATCTGCTGGTCCTGCATTCATTTTTGTCTAGTTTTTCAAGTATTAATCCTGGACCAGAGGCATCAATTAGATATGCACCAGAAATCATTAGATAAGCAGTTCTCGTGCTCCACGCTAGGCCTACTGAATCCTAGACTAAGTGTTGGACTCAACAATGTTTTGGTTTCAAGCAGAGTTTCACCATATTGTGATCCTCCTGCCTTGATCTTCTGGACTTCTGGGACCACAGGCACATACTGCCACACCCAGCCTTTAGGTTGGGTCAAGAATCAAACCCACGAGGCCGTGGCCCCGGCCCCAGCCTGCATAGCGCACTAACCACTGCAGGCTCCAACAATGTTTGGACAAGTTCTTCAAGTGATACTAATGTATCTGCTTAAGTTTACATATCTACTGATAAAGAAATGGAACGGAACTTATGTTTCATTTTGGAAGAGGGTCAGATACCACCTTTATTACTGAAAAAGAAATTGGAGCATATGGCTTATGTTATGGCAATAGACTGTGAGATTTGAATGGTCTTCATTTAACAAACATCAGGCTTGAGAAAGTTTGGTGTAAAGCCTGGCTCTACCATTCACTGTAGTGTTGAGGTTGAATGGCATTCCTTCACTTTAATTTCTTGCCAGAGGGCACAGTACTCCAGGGTGGAGATGTGGGTAAATTGAGAAAGCATCTCCCCGGGAGGGGTGGCCACGCCACAGTCCCTTCTCCCTTTCTCAGGATTTGGGGAATGCACGTACAGGTACCTACATGTTTTTCAAGCCACCTGTGCAATTGTCCATGTGGAATCCAGCACCTTAACCACACCCAACAACTGGCGGCACCGCCCCCCCGCTTGGCGGCACCGCCCCCCCCCCCTTCACTTTTTTGAGCCTGTTTTCTAGCTGCAGAATGGACACGATACCTATCTTCCAGGGGGTTTGTAGAGTAAAATGAAGTCAGCGGTGGTTCACCAGTTCTTCTAGCCATGAATTTTAAATCCTTATTACTCAAAACCTGCTAGATCAATCCACATGTGTAGAAGACCCCCAGATAAGGAGTATAAAAATTTAAGCTGAAGAAGCACTTTTTGGGAGCTGGCAGGTGGTGTGGTGGTTAAGGGCCTCGGACTCCCACATAGCCAACAGCCCCTAAGA